TCAGTAACGTTAATAATGTATTCATTTGAAACATATCTTGATTACAATTAGAAATAGCCAAGTAGCCAGTTAGTGAACTTATATGTTTAACAGGATACACATAAAAATAATATTAAATAAAGATTGGGGTCATCAAATATTTTGAAGTCACCTAAAAAACTCACAAAACAGTAAATTTAACTAAACTTATGTGATTTAAGGACTTTATGTGGTAAACATAGTAAAAAATCAAATCATGTTTACCAACGTTGCAACTCAATAAAACCACAGTATATCTATAACAAAGAACCAAACATCAAAAAATACCTTTCTTAAACCTTAAGCAATCTCCAGTCATGTGGGCTTCATTTCATTGTACATATATATATATATATATACATACTTACCTGTCTAGGTAAACTACTTGTAACCAGTGATAACAAAACCTTTATCAAACATTATTCATTTGTTACTATGGTATATTTGTAATGAAGTTATATTAGTTACCCATTCAACCTGTTTCTGTTGTGTATAAGCTTACCTTACCACAAATTATCTGATGTCTTTTCATTGAAGAAAACATTCACTAATGAAAGGAACATTTGGAGAAACTGAATAAAAACGAGTTTCTAAACCTTTGCATTTACCAATATATATATCATAGACTTATTCCTGCTTTATCCAATCATATTTAACCTTTCTTTATAGCCGTTTTTCGAAGGTTTGTTTTATTAGTAAATGATCAAATCACTTGATGTGACACCATGACAAGGTTTAAACAAACAAAAAACACATGTAAACACTTCTCAATCAAGAAACAGATAATATATTATTATTTGCAAAAAGTTATCCTTAGGCATGGGCAGAAAATTTTAAAGAAAAATGACAAGTAGGTTGTATCTTTTACAAGCAAAACTCCTTGCAGCTATGCAAAAATGAAAATATGAACTTTTATTTTTCTTCATGAACTACAGTAAATATATGCAAGAAAATGACAAAATTTTGATTCTAAAATTTGTGTCAAAATATTTTATCAAGTACTGAAAATATGTGAAAAACCAGAGAAAACCCTAACGTCAGACACAATTTAGAATTAAGTTATATTTTTAATCATAAACTTTGTGCATGAAAATGTATTATAAACGTAACAAAACTGCACTGTTTAGAAATAATAAAAGATTTATTCAACTAGTCATTCACCTGTTGCAACAATACTGTGTACACTTTTTCAGACAATCCAGTATTGTTTTACACACTCATGCCAGTGTTGAGACCTTATCTAGTCATATCTATAACTACACAGTTACTCTAAATGTCTTATGACCAAGCAAAGGAAATCAATAATTAAAGCTCCACTTATTTATTAGCCAAATGCATATTTAGCTAATAAAAAAACGTTGTATTCTTGGATATTTTTAAGTACTATAAATCTAAGGTCAAACACATACATTAGAATAACAACAATTTATTTCAGCTGCAGTAATGTTTCATTTTTACAATGATGGTATGATACCAGTTAGTTATGTTACACTGTAATCAAATTTTTACATCAAATAAGAAAGTTCCACTATAATATAGTATTAATCAGTGTCAACCACACAGTCCTAAAAGTTACCTAAGTAATTCAAATAAAGTTAAAATAACATTAATATATTCTGTAAATGATTAGTTCAATTACATTATAATCCAACTATTTCAAGGTTTATATTGTTATTTCTAGTAATGGTATTGATATGAAAATAAAAACCGTTGAAAACATCTCAAATTTTTTAAATTAAAATTAAATATATTCATCTCTATAATAATATTTAGAAAAACTTTATAGCATTGATAAAAATAATACCTGGTTTTAATTTTTTTAAAGTCATTTCTCATACATTTATACAACTTATATTTTCATTTATTTTAGATATGAACAATATGAAAAACATCTTTTACACCAGAATTCTAACTTCTATACAATGAAAAATCAATTCTGTATCAAGTCTATAAGAGCTACAGGTGCTCTAAACAATACTAATTTTGATGAAAACAAATTTCCAAAGTCTAGACATATTGTTAGAGTCTGGAAAAATTCTAGAATTGAAAATTTACTATGGCAACAGTAATTGATGTTCATATTATCTATGGTGTTTTTAGTCCATTTCACTTCACCATATAGTAACCTAAATTAACTTAGGTATTCAATATTATACAGGAGACCAACTGTTTACTGATTGTATATGTATATATATATATGTTACAGAGTTCTTTTCTTTTTCATCATATTGTTTTATTAGCTTCAAAATACTCAATTACTGGTTGTGGCCTCAACTGGATTGCTGTAGATTTCAGGAAACAAAAAAGCTTTTATGGTAATTAATAGTCCAATCAAATAAAAACATTGAACCAAACTAATGTTTTTTTTTTTTGACACTACATAGTAGTGAAAAAATATGTGGCTGTTTTATTAATTTATTAAAAAAAAAAAGAAATGGAGGGAGGTTGGATCTCAAAATCTATGCCTACATATAAAAAAAGTAACAACCTAAATCCACTGACTGCTGATTTGCCATATAGGGTACAGTCCACTTCTGGCAGTTCAATGTGAATGTGCAGCGTACAGCTTGAAAAATTCCACGAATGTTTAAAGCAGTCAGAGTCAAAGGATTAAATAATAATTAGTTTCTGAAAAGCAAATATTTGTGTGGAGTGGCCCTGGACCCCTTTCCTAAATCCTCACTTGCTTATACAACATTAATTAAAATAGCTAGGCAATTATAAATATAATACAATGTAAAAAAAAACCAGTAAGTTTACATTTTATTTAACACCAATAAATTGGCAGTGGGTGCTACCAGCCAGTTGTCTTCTCACTGACCATCAGTTCATATTTAATTTAGTGACAGTGGCAGATAGCCTTAGTAACTTTTCAATAACAAAAGCAAAGTGAGCAAATTTAGTGGTAATGGAGATTGAAACTGAAACCCTCAAAACACAAGGCACATTTCCATTATGTAGCTTTGTGCTTAACAACATACTAACAGAATGGTAATATTTGGATTACTTGGATAGTTGGACTAACTCAAAACAGTAATAACTGGGAACACTAATTTTGATTAGTTAATTATTTTTATGCAACCGATGTCATTATAAATATGATTACTTGACTGTTGAAATAACTTAAAACAATAATAATCGGAAACATTAATTTTGATTAATCAATTAATTTATGTGACACTAATAGATGGAGTTGCTTCTCAAAGGTAAATGATTAAAGTACCTAGTTCTAGCAGTAGCATATATGTTATTCAAATTCGATGACGAGGAACCCACTTTGAGACTAATAATGGCTGGAGATGGATTGAATGGGTAATGAAGAAAAACTTTAATATATCAGCAAACGTTGTCGAAACGTTGTACATTTGCTGTTATATTAAAGTTTTTCTTCATTACCCATTCAAGCCGTCTCCAGCCATTATATATGTTATTCCTTTAAAAAATTGATTAATCACT